TTTATCCTTATATGGTTTCATGTAAATGTTTCCACCAATCAAAAATAGCATTGAACATCTAATTTGCATATTTGTTTGGTAAAACATTATCTACTGTGTATTTGCATACAAACACTTGTTCTAATAATGTCTTTTACAGTTAGACATTTAATTGTGAGCTAAGCACAGGGTCCATAGCATTGGGAAAATCCTTTGAAAGTCTTTGGATATTTTCAGGTCTGGAAAGTCTTTGAGTTGTCTTTAAATTACAGGAAAAATAAAAAATCTTTGAAAAGTCTTTAAATTTCTTCATATAGTTATTAATTAATTTTAGAAAGTCGCATTTTCTCCAGGGAACTACCATATCCTTAGAACTTTGATGAGCTTTGATGATGATGTTGGCCTGAATTAAAGGTTAAAATGTCTTGGGGGAAAAATGCAAGAAAGTTTAGGAAAAGGTCTGGAAAAGTCTTGGTGCTATGGACCCTGTAAGCAGACAATACTGTAATTGCTCTGTTAGTAGTAAATGTGCATACATTAATTACAGAGGTATTTTTATGGTTAAAATAAGTAATATTTTAATAATTCAGTATACAATAAATATTATTTTGGTTTATATGCACTTCTATTAGCTTCAAAAAAAGTAAATACGGAGTATGAACATAACTAAGTACTAGTAAACTGAATGTTGTGTTTTACTTTTTATTTTTTAAAATGTCTGTCTTTAGTTGTCTTTGTCTTCTTTGTTTGTCAACTGCACTACCAATTTCATCCAATATCAATGCATCACACAATTGATGTATACTGTAAAATACTTTATTTTAGCTGGAATTAAGTTTCGCTGAAAAGACTTTTTGAGTGTTTAGCATGGAATTTATTTTCACTGATTTTTGACAAGTTGAATGTAAAATATAGGAAAAAGGTACTAGTATATTCGCTGGATTTTATTTTCACTGAATCCTTCCTTCAGTGAAAATTAATTCCAATCAAAACGAAAATGTAATGTCTAATGCAATCTCATCCATACAGGTTCCGCCAGGCGCATCATGTAA